AGTTTTATAATACTTCCTAATAGGTCTTCCTGCCTCCAGCCTCTCCCTCCTTCAATTCATTCTTCAGATGGCTGTCAAATTGAAATTATTAAAACACAGGTACTATTATATCATTCCTCTGCTCAAGGAACTTCAGTAGTTCTTTATCACCCTGAAGATAAATTACAAAACCACATCTGTTAGCATTTAAAACCATTCACAATCTTGCTTCAACATGTCTTTCCAAACTGAATACACAGTTTATTGTGATCTCACACACATTATTTATCCTCACATATTCTGCATGCCAGTTCAACTGGCCAACTTGCTGTTTCCTATACATAACATTCAACCTCCAACTTGAAGGCTTCACATAGGCTGACCACCTCCCCAGACCAAAAATGCTCTTCCTCCCTCCTCTAGCTCAATGCCTTGCACACAGTAGGTGCTTAAGGTTTGTTGAAATGAATCTATAAAACAAGGTAGAATTGCACTAGATGATTGATAGAGACATTACAACTAATTACTATGATTATTTGACCCAAAAAATTTGTGATGTATAAATACTTAGCTCAATATTCACATAACATTATATTTGCTATTCAAATTTTGTTTTAGGTTATTTCTAACAAATGAGCACAACCTCAAGACTTTTGAGGAAGTGAAAAAAAAACCCACTGGTACAAAATGGACAAGGAAAGAAAAGGGAAATAATCCTGCTCAATGACATGCACAGTGGCAATTAAGTATTCTCAGTCTTCAGTTTCATTTGATTTGGGGCTTCCTTTTGTATGAACTAAAGCAAATTGTAATCTCAGACTCTAAAAATTTTAGAGGCAGAGAAGCTTTAGAAGTCATCCAAGAAATATTCTATTCTTTAAGGAATCTAAGGCACAGGGAAGTAGTGATTTATCCAAGGTCACACTGTTAGTTCATAGCAAACTTCTGATTTAAACCCCACAACCTTTGACAATGCTATGCTATGCTCACTAAACCATGAATATATAGTGAATCAAGTTAAGGATTCTCGAGATCAATGGAGTTTTTAATCACTCGGTAATTAAAACACACTTGAGTTAAGTGTTTAAGAGTTTGCAGTTTTTTTCTTCTTTTATGAACTGAAAGTACTGCATATTTAAAGTAATGAGGGTATGTAAATGATTACAGGTAAATAAAATTTTTTAAAATGTGACAATTCACTTTAGCTATTGACTCTCAAACATTTTGAAATAATATATAGAGTTCACCTACATAAAAATTTTTAAATGTCAAAATTAATATGGTCATGATGTACTTGGTTTTATGCTTCTTTTTAGAAGGCACAATGGTTTAAAGAAAAAAATTAATGGTATAAATATTTACTTGAAAATCTGTACACTGAATAACAACAAACTGAAAATCTGTGATTCCGAAATTAACAACTACTAATACTGTAACAAATACAAGAAATATATGGATTATTTTCTCCAAAACACTATCACTTGTAAAAAATCAAAGTGGTCTGGCAGATGAGGAAGAATAGTTTACAACAATTTTAATTTGTTATTGACTGATTTAATTAGTTATTATTTTGTGCTCTAAAAAATTTGATATCTTGCCAGTATAAACCCATGAGCAAAACACAAATTGACTAAGGATTTATCTGATACATGTCTTTGCTACTTCATCCATTGGCCATTATAACTAATATAAGAGAAGTTAATACAAGAGTTACTTTGGGAAACTCTCTAAAATACAGAAGTTACTAATCTGGATCATTGTAGGGACTTTTTTGGACAGAGAGTTAACCACATGTATGAAATCACAAGCCCAGTCAAAAAATAAAAATAAAAAAACACTCACTTCACAATTTTTTCATTTGCTTTCTACTTCCTCTTTTATGGTCACTTTTCTATACCAAAGTCCAAAATCTCCCTTTCTTGTTTCATACAATTCTCTTCATCATAAATAACCATTTTCTGAACACTTAAATCACATTAACTCAACAAACAATAGACCTGGAAGGTACTTTACACATTACCTGGTTCAGGCTGCTGCTCAGTTTAAAGATGAGAAAACTAAGGCCTAGAGAAGTTGTGTTACTTGCCTAAGTTCATAGAGTGAATTAGTGGAAGAATTTAATTTCCCTACTTTCTCTCTTATTTCCTCAAAAACATACCTCCAACTTAAATCACATATAGTTAGAACTGTGTGCTACCTCAAAAATTATCTAGTCCAAATCCAACAATTTATGGATGAAAGCCAGGAGAAGGGAAATAATTTAACCAAAATCACAAAAATTAGTGGTAAGGCTGGAACTCAAATTCAGATCTCCTAATTCCTAGTTCAATGGTCTTTCCAACATGCCATAATGCTTCAAGAAAAACTCCTATTCTTATTCTAGACTAGAGATTCACTCCCCTTAACTCTAAATTGTAAAACAGTAGGCCAAATTCAGGTGAGTAAATGAAGCTTTGCTGGAGAAGGAAATGGCAAACCACTCCAGTATCTTTGCTAAGAAAACCCCAAATAAGATCACTAAGAATTAGATAAGACTGAACAATAACTATGAAGTGTTGCCTTTTTTTTTATCCCTATCATTCTACCAAGGCAGAAATCTTACCATGTTTCCACACAATACCTTTAAACCCAAAATCTGCCTAGAAATGCCTCATCTTGTGTAGCTAAGCTAAGCGTAAAATGCATTCAAGCCTATCTTAAAACTCAAAGTTCAAGTTTCATAGGAAAAATATGTATTCAAAGCTGCTTACACCCACAAACAACCCTAACAAACCCCAGACTGGATTTCTTTAGCTATCTGGTTAAAATAGAAAGAATCTGGAGTGGAGCTAGGAGATGGAGGAAGGGTTCTTGGACCAAGGAAAGGGTGGTGAACCCCTTGAGATATAGGTAGGAAAAACAAGTTAGAGTAGAACAGAGGTATGTCAGACTCAAAGCCCCAAGGTACCAGTCTTCCACAAAACTGGTTAGGCCAGAACTAGATTAAATGTTTAACAATGTTTAACAAAATAAATTAAAATACATTATTGCATTTGGATTTGTAATGGATGTTAATTTGCGGTTTTCCAAGTCAATATGCCACCTGATGGGACCCATTTCTCCTTAAGTTTGATACCAGTGGTAGGATTATGCAGGTATTTTAAAGGGGGGAAGAGAAAAAAGGGAAATTAGAGCGATCTCTTTAACAGAATGGGTTTCAAATTTGGTGGGGAAGATGGAATTAGATGGATCCCTCACACTGAGGAAAGTTTCAGACTTATATGTGTCTGAAAATGCTGGTATGGGGAGAAGAATTAAGCTGGGAGAGTTTGGGGCATTTTTAGCTGCTAAAAAGGAAAGGACTGAAAGAGAGGGAGATAAGGAGAAAAAAAGGCCTTTGTGGATATAGAGAACAGCTAGGTGGTATAGTGGATAGAGTGCCATACCTGAAGTCAGGAATACTTGAGTTCAAATCTGGTTTCATATTCTTGTGACCCTGGGCAAGTCACTTAATTCTGTTTGCCTCAGTTCCTGATCTGTAAAGTGAGCCGGAGAAGGAAATGGCAAACAACCCCAGGATCTTTGCCAAGAAAAACCCAAATGAGCCCACGAAGAGTTGGACATGACTGAAACAACCAAACGACAACAAAAAGGATAAGGAAGGTAATTCAAACCCCTGGTGCTAGAGTTAGGGACATGAATTCTGGAAGGTGGAGATGCACTGTTATATGCTGATTGAAGGGGGAAAAAAAAAGGAAAGGAAAGAAATCTGGCAGGATGACCCTGCCATCACTTGGCCTAAGGAAGGGGTCTCTAACTTGATGGAGAGGATGGAGTTACAAGTATTTCTTGTATTATGAAGAATTTCAGACTTGTATCTGCTTGGAAATGTTAGGTAGATGAGTTAGGCTAGGAGAGTTGCAGTCATTTTAAGCATGTAAAAAGGCAAGTTCTTTACAACATGACTAATGTGAAAATAGGTTTAATATGAACATGTTGACCCTATATCAATTTACACACAGTCTTGGGGTAGGGGAGGGGAGAGGTGGGGAGAAAATCTGGAACTCAAAATCTTATGGAAGTGAATGGTGAAAACTAAAAATAAAAAAATAGATTTATTTTTTAAAAAAGAAGTTAATATACATTTCAGAACTTTTGACTTTTAAGGATGATTCCTGTGACTCTCAGAATAAAGATTTCATATTTTGTATGTGAAAATGTGAAAACATATTATATCTGTAACCTTTAAAAAAAAAAGGAAAGGAACTGGGGAGGGGGGGAAATAATAGAAGACAAAGGATCTATTCAAACTTTTCAAACACCTGGACCTCACTAAGGAGAGGAGTTAGCTAGAAGAGGGAGGTTCAAGTGTTATAAGCCAAAAAAAAAAAGGGGAATTCAGAAGGATGGAGAAAGACCTCTCTGAGACTACTAAAAACTCTGGGGGGTGAGGGTAGAGGAAGAATGAAATCAGAGGGCTCTCTTCCACTAAGGAAGGGGTTTCAGACCTTCAGCCTGGAAATGCTATAGATGAAGAGATAAGTTAGGCTGAGGATTTTCTGGCATTTAAAGCTGGTATAAAAGGATAGGAAATGAGGGAGGGAGAAATGATGGAAGAAAAAGGGTCTCCGACTAGGGAAGAAATTTCAAACTCGTGGAACTAAGATAAGAGTAGGGAGATGATCTAGAAGGCTGCTAGAGGGGAAGATACAAATGTTAAAAGCAGATCGGGGAAAAAAAAAAAGGAAAGGAAAATCTAAGAGGCTGCAGGAGGAGGGGTCGCTTAGACTGAAGAAGAGTTTCCAAACCCCTGGAGCTGGGGAATTGTGCCAGTGTTCTCGGCTGGCTGTGGGAGGCGGTGTGGCGGCTCCCCCTTTTCTGAAGGCACCCTTTCCCAATGGAGAACAGGTCTGGGGCATCCTCTGAGGGGGTGGGGATACAGATCCAGCGACCTTCCAAGCTAGGACTTGGGGGCACGGGCGGGGGTCGCAGGAGAAAGAGGCTTCCTCGAAGGACAACTCTCCCTCTCGACCAGCGCTTACCTGCTGGACCAGGTAGTGGGTCTCGTAGCTGAGCCCCGCGGCGGGGGCGGGGGCGCTACTGGACAAGCTGGACAGCCGGAAGGTCTGGGCGGCCCGAGGTAGGTGGGGGGCAGCAGCCGCAGGGTTCGGCAGGCCCAACGCCAGGAGGAGCAAAACTGAGGAGGCAGCAGCAGCGATGGAGGCCCGACTGCCCATGGCTCCCGACACTAGTGAGGCTAGGGGCGCCGGGAGCCGGAGTCGGGATACAGAGCGGCACTTCCTGCTGCTCCGCCCCGGCCCAGCCGGGAACCAATCCTGGCCCCAGGGAGGAAGTGGCTCCGCCCCCTGCCGCCCACCAGGGAGTAACCCCGCCCACCGGGCACCAAGGGCTGGCTTAGCCCCAACCAGCAGACTCCCAATGAGGATGTAGCCCTGCCTATGGCACCCCCAAATAAGAGAATGGCCCTGCCCACCAGGCACCAAAGGATAGCTCAGCCCTATCCACCAGACTCCCAAGGAGGAAAAAGGCCTACTTACCAGGCCAGGGAAAATAGGAATTAGCTTGCCCACCAGGCCCACCCATTCCTCAGCCTCCCTCCTCCCTATTCTTCCCCTCCTGTCACTTGGCCACGTACCAGTTTCCTATGTGTCACACCACCCCCACCCCACCCCCCCACCACCCCACACTCCTATTGCAATTAGGCTAGTGGAGGTAATGAAATTCTGGCTGAGTTATTTAAAATCCTAAAAGATAATGCTGTTAAATTGCTGCACTCAATTTGCCAACAAATTTGGAAAACACAACTGTGACCATTGGATTGGAAAAGATCAGTTTATGTCTCAATTCTAAAAAAGGGCAGAGCCCAAGAATATACAAATTACTGAGCAATTGCGCTCATTTCACATATCAGCAAGGTTAAGTTTACAAACCCGCAAACTAGGCTTCAGCAATATGTGAACTGAAAATTACCAGAAGAGCAGGCCAGTTTCCAAAGAGGCAGAGGAACTAGAGACCAAATTGCCAACATTTGATGGATTACGAAGAAAACAAGGGAGTTCCAGAAACACATCTACTTCTGCTTTATTGACTACACTAAAGTCTTTGACTGTGTGGATCACAACAAAATGTGGCAAGTCCTCAAAAAGATGGGAGTACCAGATCATCTTATTTCTCTCCTAAAGAACCTGTATTCAGCCAAGAAGCAACAGTTAGAACCAAACACGGAACAACTGATTGGTTTAAGACTGGAAAAGAAGCACAACAAGCCTGTATATTGTCACCTTATTTATTTAATTTATAATGTCATGTAAAATGCCAGGCCCGATGAATCAAAAGACAGAATTAAGGTTGCTGGGAGAAATATCAACAATCTCAGATATGCAGATGATGCCACTTTGATGGCAGAAAGTGAAAAGGAATTAAGAAGCCTCTTAATTGAAACAGGTAAAAGAGGAAAGTATAAAAGCTGGCTTGAAGCTTAACCTAAGAAAAACAAAAAACAAAAAACCTAAGATCTTGACAACTGGTCCCATGCTTCCTGGAAAATAGAGGGAGAAGAAATGGAAGCAGTATCAGATTTTATATTATTGGGTTCAAAGATCATTGCAAACAGTTATGGCAAATCTGGACAGCACACTAAAAAGCAGAAACATCACCTCAATGACAAAGGTCTGTATAGTCAAAGCTATGGTTTTCCCAGTAGCAATATATGGCTGTGAGAGTTGGAATGTAAGGAAAGCTGAGCACAGCAGAACTGACACTTCCAAACTGTAGTGCTAGAAAAGACTTTTGAGAGTCCCTTGGACAACAAGGAGATCAAATCAGTCAACACTTAAAGAAATTAATTCAAGCTATCTCCTGGAAGGTCAAATACTGAAGCTGAAGCTTAAATAGTTTGGCCACATAATGAGAAGACTGGTCTCATTGAAAAAGACCCTGATGCTGGGAAAGATTGCAGACAAAAGGAAAAGGGGACAGCAGAGGATGAGACGGATGGTGTCATGTAAGGAATGAACGTGAGCCTAGACAGATTTCAAGAGACAGTGAAAGATAAAAGGCTCTGGCATGCTATGGTCCATGGGGTTACGAAGACTTGGATACACAAGACTGAGTAACAATAACAACTTATTCTCTCTTGTCATGCCATATCCATTTCCTTACCGCCATCTCAAACCCCACCCCTCCATGTCACTTCCCAAACTTTAACTCTATTTTAGGTCACCTCCATACACTAGTCTTTACTGTCATCCCATATCCTATTTTTATTCATCCCTTCTTTATATGAACCCCCACCCTATATTTTCTCTCTTGTCCTCTTATTCCCATCACTTTCTGTCACTCCAAAGCCTATTCTTTACTATTATTCCCAAACCCCATCTTTCCTATTATTCACTTTGTTCGTGCTTGTACTGTATTGTATTTCACTGTATTTATACTGTATATCCTTATATATGTACTTGTCTCCCCCATTAGAATATAAGTTCTTTTCAAACAGAAATTGTTCCATTCTTTGTAATTGCATCCCCAGTGCCTTGCTTATAGAATATGATTAATAAGTGCTTGCTGAATGACTGATTGACTTCTTCACATCACCCCCACATCCTTGTCTTTAATGTCATCCAAACTTCACCCCTCCATGACAACCTATATCTATTTTTTTACTGTCAAGCTTCCCTGCTTTCCCAGGCATTAATTTCTACCTTGGTCTCATGTTCCTCCCTTAAAAATCTCTCAACTTTTTAATTAATAAGTTCAACTTTACTCCACCTTGCACCCTTGAATCTCTTACCCAATTGTCCTATCACTGCTACTCCAGTTAGAAACTTCAAGTCTGGATTATTTCCTCCATCCACTTCTCCAAATATCACAAAAACTAACTGACTGATTAGGTCTACTACAAATTTGTTAGCCAAACTCAACTGGGTCCTCACCTGCCTAGATCTCCCCCATTCTAAAAAATGTCCTTCACTTGACCATTCTATATCTTTTTTCCATTTCACAGCCAAACCCTGACAGAAGCTATCTATGCTTACTGCCTGTACCATTCGCATCTAATCTGGTTTCCAACTTTATCATTTAATTGCAACTGCTCTCTCCAAGGCCAGTACTGATCACTTTATTGCTAAATCCAAATGCCTTTGGGAGTCAATCTACACTCAGAAACTAAATGAATCCAACTACAAAACACTTTTTGCAGAAATAAAGACAGAGCTAAATGATCAGAGAAATATTAATTTCTCAAGTAGGGATAATATAATAAAAATGACAATACAGTACTGTGTAAATTAACTTATTCAATGGCATACTAATCAAATTACCAAAAGATTATTTTATGGAGCTAAAAAATAAAAATAACAAAATTCTTACAGAGTAATAAAAAGTCAGGAAATCTCAAGGTTAGTAATGAAAAAAAAAGTAGTAAAGAAGAGGGTCTAGCAGTACCAGATTTCACACTATATAAAGTAGTAATCATTAAAATTATTTGGTACTGGTTAAAAACAAATAGAGAAATCAATCAGTAAACCAGGCTAAGTACTTAACATAGCAAAGCAAATGAACACGGTAGCACAGTATTTGATAAACCCAAAGTTATTAGAGTAAGGATTCGCTATTAGAAAAAGCAAAAAAGAAAAAGAAAAAAGAAAAAGGGAAAGAAAAAAAAAACTAGCGGGGTGCCAGGCAGAAATTATATAAAGCCACAATCTCATACTGACTATCAATTCCAAATGGATACATGACTTAAATACAGGCATACCTCAGAGATATTGTGGGTTCAGTTCCAGACCACTACAAGAAAGCAAATATCTCAATAAAGTGAGTCACACAGATTTTTTGGTTTCCCAGTGCACATACAAGGTATGTTTATACTATATTGTAGTCTATTAAGTATACAAGAATATTGTGTATCTTAAAAAAAAATTCAAGGTACATACCTTCATTTAAAAACATTTTATTGCTAAAAATGCCACCATCATCTGAGCCTTCAGCAAATCATAATCTTTTTGCTGGTGGATGGTGTTGCCTCAATGTTGACAGATGCTGACTGATCAAGGTGGTGGTTGCTGAAGGCTGGAGTGGCTGTGGCAATTTTTTTAAAACAAGTCAATGATGAAGTTTGCCACAATTAATGCCTCTTCCTTTTATAAAAGATTTCTCTGTAGCACGTGATACTGTTTGATAGCACTTTACCCAAGTAGAAGTTCTTTCAAAATTGGAGTCAACCCTCTCAAACTCTGCTGCTGCTTTATCAACTAAGTCTATGTAATATTCTTCAATATTGTTGTGTCTCAAGGAATAAGGAGGTCTGAGGAAAAGGAGAGAGGCAGGGAACAATGGATTGGTGGAGTAGTCAGTAACACAAACAACATTTATCAATTAAGTTTGTTGTCTTATATGAGTGTGGTTCACGGAGCCCCAAAACAATTACAATCGTATAAAATCAAAGATCATAGATCACCATAACAGATATAATAACAATGAAAAAGTTTGAAATATTATGAGAATTATTAAAGTGTGATACAGAGACACAACATGAGCACAAGCTGCTGGAAAAATAGTGCAACAGATTTGCTCAATGCAGGGTTGCCACAATCCTTCAATTTGTAAAAACAAACAAATAAAACACAGTTATCTGAGAAGTGAAATAAAGCAAAGCACAATAAAATGAGGTATGCCTGTATAAAAAGTGACATCATAAGCAAAATGGAGAAGCAGTAAAGAAATTAACTTCCAGGTTGATGGTTAAGAGAGAAAGTCATAATTAAACAAGGGATAGAGAGGATCACAGAAAATAAAATGGAAAGTTTTAATGATATAAAATTTACAAACTTTTGAACAAACAAAATAATTAAAATTTGAAATGTAATTGGAAAAAATCTTTGCTGCAAGTTTCTGAAAAGATAAAAATTAATATTACCTTGAGTTTCTACTGTATTGATTCTCCAATGTAACTGATTTTATGCTGTATTAATTTTATAATTGAGTCTGCATCTGCCTAAAGCCACCTTGCTCTTGAGTTGGGCTGAGGAATTTAGCTTTCCCTCTGAGTTAGTTTAAAGGGATAATTAAAAAAAAATTGTTATGGCTCATACCTGCAGTCCCTGAAATATTTCCAGGCAATCAATTTGTTCTAGCCCCTGTAAAATTCGGGGATATTTTATCTCTTCCAAGAATACAGCAACTCTGGTAGTTTTGATCCCCTAGCAAAGATTAGAAGATGCAGATGGGTTCCATAAAACAATTAACATTTCTTATTTGTCAGAGAGGGGTGTAA